AGCAACTCTTTCAAGAGTCAATATCACCTAATCACGGATAAGAATCCTCCCTCAAATTATGCCGAAGCTAACTTAGCCGGACATAATACTCATTAAAATAACAGCGAAAATGATAGACATGGTAAATCTAAAGGANGGGGGAGAATTGTTGGGTTTCCCTCCTTTGTGGGACTCATCAATTTGCTAATTTTTTGGTGGCTTACCCGTGTATGACTCTTATCCAAGACTTGGTTTGGAGTCTTCAAGTTAAAAGGAATTTGGCAGCCACCAAAGACTATAAGTTTTGTCCCTTTCTTTGNTTGAGCGAGAAAATTCAAATTCTTACCCACTAGATCAACTGCTTAGTGGTGTTTTAGGAAATTAACTTGACAAATGCATTGAGCGAGAAATTAACTTAACAAGCATTGAGCAAGAAAATTAAAGTTTTTATGAACTGGATCAATTGCTCAGTGGTGTTTTAGGAAAGTAACTTGACAAATACAATATCTATGAAATGTCATTCAAATTTCTCAAGAAGATGCTATCTATTCTCCCAGTTAATAAAGAAAGGAGCCATTCGAATGAATGGGACGAAAAATGCTAACATGCCTTGAACAACTTGATCTACAGTTCATTTAATTCTTTTGATAAGTTACAAATGAGTATTGGTTTGGTAATCAAATAAATTTGTGTGTGAGATAGAGAGAGAGAGTTCATGTAGAAGGGACTCGAATTTTCTTAACCTCAAATTTTATTAACTCTATTCATTTTTTCCGTTTTGGTCAATAGATATCATTTGTGGATTTGTATGGATCTTATTAGTTTTTTGGTTATCCCATTATGAATTGAGAATGAAGGATTCCAATCACATCAATAGTTAGTCCACTTTGAATACGGGACAATGCCGAATACATTGATCCTCTCTAAACTCCGGATTGACAGAGTTTTGTATATTGAATTATTCGATTTTTTTTATTAACAAGGCACACGTAAATTGATTCGAATACTTTTAACCGTTGAACAAAAAAAAAATCAGTTACAACTATACTTGAAAATGAAAGAAATAACTAATTAAAAGTTACCAATCAATAAATTTTGACAGGAGCAAAACTGTCGAAAATAATTACTATAAAAGGACATGTAGTGAAGAAGATAAAGAAAATAAATATACACTCAAAACCCCAGCACATAATAAATTGTTCCATCAAAATGACTACAATGAAATATGCTTGATTTTTAACCAACATATAATTAATATCTTCTTGATACAAATGAAGTTAACTAAAATAGGAAAAGTCTATATTGATTCGAACAAATAAACTTAGAAAATCACTTTTTACATTCGATTAAAAAATAAATTTTTGATAAAAATCCAAAAACATAGCATATATTCAAGAAGAAGTACATGAAACAGTGTGTTACACAATCATTTCAACATGATGTTCCATGGAGAACCTGTTGAAATATTCTCAAATTTCTTTCCAAGAATAAATTTTAGGGGTAGAAATGGGCCAAGGAAATTAACCCAAGGTCAGGGGCAACCCTTTGACCAATTTGAAAATTTAGAAGGCCACCACAACATTATTTTTAACAGAAATCAACTAGTGAAGATGATTCAAAATCTATATGGTTTTGACCTTAGAAAAACTAAAAAGCTTGTGTTTAGAAAATTACATATCCACCATGGGTTTTTTTTTTTTTTTTGATCAAAAGACCATGGGTTAATTATGCGGAAATCCCAAGGAGATATAAAATTTCAGATTTACACCTTTACTTTGGTAAAGAAAATCAATCAACCAAAGAGCATATAAGCAAATTCAATTTGCAATGTGGGAATTTGAAAATAAAACCGTTCCCACAATTTTTAACTAAAATAGTCTTCCCTTGGTTCATTAATTTGTCTGCCAATTCAATTCTACCTTGGCAAGAAATTGAAGAGCAATTTCATGCTCAATTCTTTAAGAATGAACTAGAAATTTTGATGACAGGTCAATTAAGATTATGGCAGATATCAAACAAATCGGCAAAATAGTATATTAATTATTTGTCTGTTTCTGTTGTATCTCAAAGTAATTACCAAGCTTAGGAATTACTCCATCCGTTCTTAAATATCTGTTGTTTTACATAATTTTTTTTGTTCCATAATATCTGTCGTTTAATGAAATCCAAACATAATTAATATTTTATCTTCCAAATTTATCCTTAACTTTTCAATGCATTAGATTAGGTGGAGGCTAAATGTCTTTCATATTCATTTTCTTCCTAATACATATTAAATAAGGGTATTGTAGTCTTGTGTAATTATTTTTTACTCATATTAGAGCTATTTAATAGCTTCCTTAATCCCTGTGTAAAAATCTTAAATGACAAATATTTAGGAACGGAGGAAATATCATTTAGTAACTCAAAATTACCCAGGTTGTCTAGATAGGGAACAAAGACAAATTTGGAATGATGATGTATTGCAAATTAAAATGAAGATTCTTGGATTTCTAAATGTTGTTGAGATTATCAAATAATGCAATGAAATAATAATGAGTAATACTACACTAATCAAGTTTTAGAATTAAATTTGAAGCTTAAATGACATGACAACTGACTTGGATTTCGTTATTTGGTGACATGTCATTTGGATCCCAATAAAAACTCTAAATAATATGCTATCATGTCATTTGAATTCTAAATTTAGTCAGTGTAGTATTACTAAAAAATAATCAGCTAATTCTCAAAATTCATATTACCGTAATCAGGATCATTGAATCTCAATTATAACTCATTTAAAATCGTAATCAAACTTACTTAGACGGAAAATAATTAACGAAAATCAGATTTTAAAAAATATGTGATTTTGATGATAGGAAATAATTACTAAAAATATAGATATCTCGTTGATTGCCGGGACTCCAAATATGACGCGTGTCGAAAAATCTATCAACAGGTAATCAAAATTGTTTACAAATCAAACAAGTTTCCAAAAATATTTATTCCAATCAACAAGAACACCCAATGAAAGCAACTCTTTCAAGAGTCAATATCACCTAATCACGGATAAGAATCCTCCCTCAAATTATGCCGAAGCTAACTTAGCCGGACATAATACTCATTAAAATAACAGCGAAAATGATAGACATGGTAAATCTAAAGGAAGGAAAACAAATTCTGATATTGAAAAGAGTAATCTTATTTATATTTAAAAATTTGACTTAATTTGTTGATATAATGATATAACTTAAATATAACTATTAATTAGATTAACATCAAGTTTCAATATTTGACAGAGTTCATAGTCAATTCAAATGTCATAGAGAATTAAGTCAATAAATTAAGTCTCAATAACATTGCTTAATTGAAAATATTTAACTCTACTAAGGATAAAATAATAAGNATTTCTTCACTTGATATTTGGGTTTCTTGCGGTTTGTTCTTGGAGATTTGGTTCACTTATTTTGTGAGGTATTTTCCTCTTGTGATTTACACCTTGGTGTGTTTGTAAGGCTTATGCCTTTTGGCCACTTTGTAATCTGATTTGGTGATAGTGGAAGAAACTGACCTACCGGTCGTCGTGGATGTACCTCAAGTTATTTGAGGGAACCACGTAAATCTTGTGTGCTTATTTATTTTCTGTTATTTTATTTATATTGCTTCCATTGATTTACACTTGTGGGAAAACCTATTTTTCCCAACAANAACCACATAATGAAATCAAAAAGTAACTTGGATGGATAAAACGATGTCAGTGGGTACAAAAGTTATCGAAATCAAAATGTAACAGCCTTAGAAACTAAAGGTTTCCTATCCTAGGCTATTACAAACCCACCTAGACAATGATCTTAAAAAAAAATCCAAACAAACTTCATAATTCCAGTAACCTAATCGGAAGCATCCTCCTCCTTNGGATAGGGTTTTAGATTTATAATATAAATATTATATAATTTATGTAAAATTTTTAATTAATAAAAATTAGAGTCGGAGTTAGAGCTAGAACCAGAGTTTTTTTTCGAAAGGATTTTGAACTCTGACTCTGATTAAACTCTTAGTTTTCCTCTAACTTAGACAGAGACAAAGGCGTACCAGAGTCAAATTTTTGAATTTTTACATACCCCTATTTTAAGAGTTAGTTCCGAGAGTCTTTTATTTTGTATTCATTTGCAAAAGTGATGCAATACCGTCATCATTCTCTGTAATATCATTCTCGAAGAGCGACATGGTAACTAAATGTTCGTAGGAATTAGGCAGCAAAGACAACAAAAGTAAGATTTTATTTTTATCTTCNGAAAGAACCGGTACGAGGAATCAAAGAACTCGTACAAGTGCTCAAAGAACCAGTATAAGTGCTCTCTGTTCCATAATGAACCAGTACAAGTTGGTTGCACTGATACAAGACCATCCTGTTTGAATTAGAATCAGTAAAACGTACAAAAATGTTTTACCCGTACAAACATATTTTGCCTTGAAGAACTAGTACAAGTTGTACCGATACAATTATTTTTTTCACTGTTTTGTTACTGTTACTCATGGTTCGTTGTCCACCCATTTTCAAAGCCTTTCGAGACACTTGATCAAGTCCAAATCATTACTCCTCGGTCATATTTACCTAAAAATACACAATTTATAAACAACACAAATTCAACTTAAGTGAGACAAATAATCAACAAGCAAAGGCTAAAGCGATCGGATTAGTTATAAAAATGTGCAAAATTCTATGCTTAACATACCCTCAACATAAACTTTCCTAATCCCTAGGAAACCAAAATAAGAAAACCACTCCATACATTATATCACAAATTCCACACAGATATTAAGCTAACCACACACATCAAATGCATAAATAAAACTCTAAACCACATAATGAAATCAAAAAGTAACTTGGATGGATAAAACGATGTCAGTGGGTACAAAAGTTATCGAAATCAAAATGTAACAGCCTTAGAAACTAAAGGTTTCCTATCCTAGGCTATTACAAACCCACCTAGACAATGATCTTAAAAAAAAATCCAAACAAACTTCATAATTCCAGTAACCTAATCGGAAGCATCCTCCTCCTTGGTCTCCGATCCTGAACCAGTCTCATAATCCTCACCAACCTCATCACTTCCGCTGTCCCCACTAAGCACAACTATATCCTTGGCCTGAAAAACATAAGCAGCCGCTGGATCTGATGTAAACGGTGATATTGTAGGTCCAGAAGTAGTGGCATCTGAAGTAGGTGGATGAACGCCTGGTGGTATCTCGCCTGGGGCAAGAATCTCAATTAGTCTGCGTTGTATCCTCATTCAAATCTCCACATTCTTGTCAATCTTGTCCTGTGCCCTCTTAATATCCAACATGTCCGTCTCCATAATGCTCATCCTCTGCTCTAGCCTCGTCACTCTGGGCTGCCCCGTGGCACTAGAGGTCGATGGACAACGAGTGGTTGTAGAAGTAGTGGGTGTAGGCTGAACTGAGAACTCCTTTACTTGGGATGCCCTCGACCAGGGTTTTGAAAATCGGCCGTTACAGTACATAACGGCTATTATGTAACAGTAACGACAAGTACCGATCCTGTTACGGTCCGATATAACGGAAGAAATGAATTTCACAGGCGTAACGACCGTTACGGCTCCGTAACAACTCTCGTAATGGACGTAACGGCTGTTTTGACCCGTTATAATTCAAAAAAAATGATTTGAGTATAAAATTCAAATTTCAGCCCCAAAAATTGATTTTATCTAAAACCCAAATTCAACATCCGTCTCCCATCTTCCTTCATTCAGTCAAATCTCAAATACACGGTTTAGATCTAAAAAATCTTTCAAATAATCACTTAAAAATGCACCTGTATATCTAGATCTAACTTTCTTGAGGTGGTTTTCGAAACTATGTCCTTCTCTACTCGAAAGAGCTGAACTCGAACTCTGACTGTTGGATCAATGATCAGATCTGAGCTCTTCAATGTTTGATCGCTTCTTAGTGTGGTCGTTGCTTTCTTCGGACGATCGATGACAAGTGGATTTTGACTGCAACGCTCCATTCGAATTTCTCACTTCTCTAGTAAACACTCCAGTCCAGCCAGCCGCCTGGTCCGCCTCTCTCTTCTTCTTATTTTTTTATTTTTTTTGTGGTTGTGAGGAGATAACATGTGTGGTGTTCAGCCATCAGCCACCGATNTTTTTTGGGTACACTAAATAGATATGCGGATATGTTATTCCACATATTCATCAGAGAGTATTGTTTCTTAGCATCACACAACTATCTACAGGAGACCTCATCACACCTATGTTAGGGCTAAAGATAAGGTCTCATCGCATACTTTGGGTGTTGAAGAATATGTTTAGTCCCACTGAGCTGTCCTATATAGCTGTGGAGACTCTAACCCAAGCATTGAGCGAGAAAATTCAAATTCTTACCCACTAGATCAACTGCTTAGTGGTGTTTTAGGAAATTAACTTGANGAAAAAAATAATTATTGTGTTCTAAGTATTAAATATTAGTCTAGATTATTTATTATGCTTATTTAATAATCGAATCAATTTTAAATATTTTTATATGTGTGTCACTGCGTGTCTTACCATTCACTAATTTTATTTGGAGTAGATAGAACATATAAATTAATCCTTTAATCCATTTAATATATTGAATTATTATTTCGACATGACGTATACTTTTTTTTTGTGACAGAATTGAAAATGCCTCGACATGGCCCAGAAGAAGGTTCACAAAGTAATCCCAGTAATGATATCGGTTGAAACTTTGCGACAATGGCTATCAATAGACATGATGCAGTATGTATATTTTGTAAAAAAATCATTAAAGGTGGTATTACACAAGTGAAAGAACATTTGGCAGAAAAAGAGGCAATGTAACATCGTGCCCAGNTATATTTTGTAAAAAAATCATTAAAGGTGGTATTACACGAGTGAAAGAACATTTGGCAGAAAAAGAGGCACTGTAACATCGTGCCCATATGTGCCACGAGAAGTCAGAGAACAGATGATGAAACATCTTCAAGAAAGTAAAGATAAAAGAAAAGATAAACAAAAGATGAAGGAAGAATTGAAATTCCATCTGAAGGAGACAGTGGTTGGGGATCCTAGGTATGTGGACTTGGGTGATGATTCAGATTCTGATCCAGAGATGGCGTTCACGAGAAGAGAAAGTGTGGCACAATATCAATTTGAAGAAAGTGACAGACGTAGAAGTGTACATGTGCCAAAGTATAACGTAGGAGGTAGTTCCGGAGGTGGGGGTAATTTTAGAGGTAAAGATGGAGGTAGGTTAAGACGATCTCATTCAGTTTATGAGCAGGATGTTGATGGTAGTGCTCAGCATTGGACTAATTATGATACTCTTGAAGCTAGATTAAGAGAGATGGATCCTGATCTTCTGAGAAATAAAAGTTTNAGCATTGGACTAATTATGATACTCTTGAAGCTAGATTAAGAGAGATGGATCTTGATCTTCTGAGAAATAAAAGTTCTAAGCAGCCAAAGATAAATTCAAATCACCAAAAGATTAGAAGGGAAATGTTAGGAGATATGTTTTTCAAATTCATGTTATATAACCATTTGCCTTTTCATGTAGCAGACTCTCCTTGGACTCAACCAATGCTTGATGTTGCTGCTGAAGTAGGAAAAGGGGTTAAAAGTCCGAATTCTTATGAGGTGTCTGAGATATATTTGAATAAAGAAGCTAATGCAATGAAGGAGTGGATTAAGTCTTTTCGACCAACATGGAAAGAGAGGAGAGTTACTATCATGTGTGATGGATGGACTGGTCAAACACGAGATCACATCAGCAACTTCTTGATATATTGTAATAAAGGTACAATTTTTCATAAGTCTGTTGATGCATCTAATGTAGCAAGTAGGACTTTAGATTATTATTTTCGTTTATTAGATATAGTTGTTGAAGAGATTGGACAAGAATATGTCGGCCAAATAGTGACTGACAATGAAGCAGTTCTTAAGGCTACTGGAAAGAAGTTGACGGAGAAAAGACCATATTTGTATTGGACAGCGTGTGCAACATATTGTATTGATCTTATACTTGAGGACATTTCAAAAAAAAAAAATATGTTGCAAAGGTTCTAGATGATGCAAAGTCTATCACAAGCTTCATTTACAATTATCCAAGGGTTTACCATTTGAGGAAAAAAATATACAAATGGTAAAGAATTGTTACGCCCTTCAATTACCAGATTTGCCACAAATTTCATTGCACTTGAGAGCATTATTAGGCAGAAAGATAATCTACAGGCTCTGTTCACTTCTGATGACTATAAGGCAACTAGTTTTGGGAAGATGAAAACCGGCCCTCTTAGTGATGTAAAAAATTTGATTATGGGCAAAGACTTTTGGAAGAGAGGTAATGAAGTTCTGATTGTTCAAGAGCCATTGGTTAGGGTGTTAAGGTTAGTAGATGGAGATGAGAAACCTAGAATGGATTTTATATATGAAGCAATGGATCGAGCAAAGTTGGCTATTAAAAAAGATTCTCGATATTGGGTCGACTATTGGAAGATTATTGATCGTCGGTGGTCTGTTCAATTACATCATGATTTGCATGCTGCTGGTAAGTATGGACTACAAAATTATGTTTTTTATATAGCTGTATGAAATTTGCATGTTATGTGTGGATAAATAAGTAGTTATAATGAACTAAAAATTAATATTTATATATGAGTAGGTTACTTCTTGAATCCACAATTCCAGTATACTACTACTAGCTCTAGGGAGACGTTCTGAGAAACAATGGATGGAACGCAGAAAGTAATACAAAAATTGGAGCCGAACATTGAATGTCAGATTAAGGCAATAAATCAGGTATATAGTGCTTGTTTACTTACAATTTTATTTACTATTTGAATGACATGTTATCTAATACACATTATTTCACAATTATAATGTATGTAGATGTTTTTGTTTCGGGATAAAGCAAAAACATTTGGATCAAATATTGCACAAGCAGCAATTAACAAAACAAATCCTGGTAAGTTAAGTTACAATTTATAATATGTAGTCAATGTATATTTATTCATTTGTGAATTCATCAAAATTTATTTTATGCAGCTGAATGGTGGATTCTTTATGGCTCATGTGCTCCTGAGCTTCAAAGTATAGTAGTTAAGGTACTAAGTCAGACTACTTCATCTTCTGGTTGTGAGCGTAATTGGAGCACATGGAGTCTTATTCACACCAAGACGAGAAACAAGTTAAAATATACTAAACTCCAAAAGCTTGTTTTCATTCACTATAACATGAAATTGAAAATTAGGCATACTATGCGAAAGAACCAGCAAGAGATTGAGAATAACTTTAATCCTATCAATTTGAATTACATATTTCATGAAGATGATCCCCTAAATCCATGGTTAGAAGAAAGGGAAGAACCATTGATGCCCTTGGATATGGAAACTCGCTCTTGGATGAATTCTTTTGGTGAAGATGATGATAATGAATGCATACCTCTTTTTGAGTCACTTTATAACCAAGGCTCTGATTCTAGTCCTGCGCCAACTGAAAGCGATAATGGTGGTGGTAGTGACAATGAGGATGATGGTGGTGGTGGTGATGGTGATGATAATGGTGATGGGGGTCATCGGGTTGCTAGTCTAACCCAAATTTATGATTATAATTGTGAGGGTAACCTTCCAGCTCAGGGTGATACTAGTGGTCATTGTCATGATTCACCGTTTCGCGGGCATCATGGACTTAGTACAGTTAGAATTGATCCAGAAGCTTATGGTCAAGAATCACGGCGTGGAAAAACATCAAGCAGAAATACGAGAAATTGGAATGAATATGAAGATTCCTCGTCTAGTGTTATGCAGAGTTTGAGTGATCTCACCTTTAGTGATTCATCATATGGTAGTGATAATGAAAACTACCACTCATCAGGCTATCCAGCTGAAAATTATAGGCCCTACCCTTATAGTTATTCTCCTCAACACTACCCTCCACCGTTACATCCCCAAGATAATTCTTTAGGGCTTTTGAACCCTAACAATTACTTGACATTGCATACATATGGAGAGCAGCCACGACAAGATGGAGTTGAATTGGGAACATTTACTTATATGTTGCCCACAGGATGGAATGATGATAGTGGAGGTAATCAAGATCAATCTCAATCTCAATGTTTGGATCCTCCGCGTCGTTCTTTTTGGTGGTGAGATTGTTGAAAGGTAACACTATTTCTTTCTCTTTTTTATTGTATTGTACTATTCTAAAAATCATTTTGGTTCTATCAATATGTTTCATTTAATAAATTGTTAGATTTATAATTGTGCATTTCATTTGTTCAATTGTTGCTAATGGAAATATCACTGTTGCATAGTGACTTAAGAAATATTATTAATACTTATGATATTTTATTATCATGTTTATGATACAATAAAATGCACTAAATCACTAAACACCTATATTTGCATGATTTTAAGTTGAAATATGTAAATATTCATGTTTTATAGGAGGTTGTGAGTTGAAAAAAAAAATTTAAGCATTCGGTTTCCGTTACTGTTACGTAACGCCCGTTTCACCCCGCGTCCGTTACAANCAATTACTTGACATTGCATACATATGGAGAGCAGCCACGAGAAGATGGAGTTGAATTGAGAACATTTACTTATATGTTGCCCACAGGATAGAATGATGATAGTGGAGGTAATCAAAATCAATCTCAATTTCAATGTTTGGATCCTCCGCGTCGTTCTTTTTGGTGGTGAGATTGTTGAAAGGTAACACTATTTCTTTCTCTTTTTTATTGTATTGTACTATTCTAAAAATCATTTTGGTTCTATCAATATGTTTCATTTAATAAATTGTTAGATTTATAATTGTGCATTTCATTTGTTCAATTGTTGCTAATGGAAATATCACTGTTGCATAGTGACTTAAGAAATATTATTAATACTTATGATATTTTATTATCATGTTTATGATACAATAAAATGCACTAAATCACTAAACACCTATATTTGCATGATTTTAAGTTGAAATATGTAAATATTCATGTTTTATAGGAGGTTGTGAGTTGAAAAAAAAAATTTAAGCATTCGGTTTCCGTTACTGTTACGTAACGCCCGTTTCACCCCGCGTCCGTTACAACGTTACCGTTACGGTGTCCGTTACCTTTATTCAGAACCATGCTCTCGACATAGTCAAACTCTTCTTCTCCCCACAACTACTAATAGATCCCCTCTCCGGAGGATAAATCTGATCGGACTGTACCTTCTTCACACTGGCATTGATACACAACTCTGTAACCATGCGCGCAAAAGACATTCTCCCTTTTGGCCTACTAGCAGACACATACTCCTTAATCACTCCCCAAATCAGTAGTGCAACATCAGTCTTAGAAACAACCATAAATTCATGCAATAGAACTATCTTGGGTAAATTAGGCCGCTTCTCAAACCCTTTCGGAAATGCATTGTAATGCAGAATCTTATTCATTAGTCTATACTTTGCACTCAAACATCCTTGACTAAAGTGACCATCAAATTGACTAGGGTCCTCATACATAATCTGTGCATACTCCTCAGGACTCTTGGCAATGAAATATGGGTGTAGGTAATCAATCATGGTAGGATTAGGCCTAACATATCCTAAATACTCGGCTATACTATCAGGGGTAACCTTGATAATATGACCTCGTACAGTAGTCTTAAGTATCAACACATCGCTATTGGCTAATTTCATTCTACTATAGAATTCACGGCAGAAAGTAAGAATATACCCCGTCATCGGCTTAAAAAACAGCTCAAGTCCTTGCTCCACAATCCGTCTCACTAGTCAGATCTTACCCAAGCTCTTCTGATCAACCATTCGCTCACAAGTGACCCCCTTTCTCTACAATGTTCGACTCATAGACTGCTCGTTGACGCTTCCTCGACTTTGGCTGCTCTAGCTCTGTTGCAATGCCCTTGCCCTTCTCTTTCCTTATTGACCTCGGCTTCGTTGCAGACGCTGAAGCTCCTTGTGTCTTCGTCATACCCATCAATATCATGTAAGCAATTTTATTGATTTGTATATGAAATTTAGAATACCTAAATTATAAGGTTTAGAACATACATGTATGAGCAATGATACTCGATTTTTGAATTTCTTTTTTGGAAGGGCAAGATCTTCTTCTTCTTCTTCAAAGTAATAGGCGGCTCTCAATGGGAAAAACCAAATTAGGATTATGAAGTGGAGAGGAGACCTAGACTGCTATTTATAATGAAATTTAATGGGCTCTCCTATTACGGGCCACAATTAGATTAAGACCTACATTTAACCGCATCAACCACATCAATTAAAATATGTATATAAGCCCATCAAAATAGATCACTTAATAATATTGAGCTCATCTCATTGGACCATAAATTCAGCCCGTTTTTCACAAACTAAAATTAACTATCAATTAATGGCAGTCCAATATAAGAAAATTTTCAACATTCTCCCACTTGGACAACATTAATTGTAGTCATTCTTTCATTCTTTATGTTATTGGAAATGGTAGGAGTACATCTCTCTAGCATGATTTTTGGCATCCTAATGGTCCTCTCCTTCTTAAATGGGGTCTTAGAGTGATTTATGATTCTGGGATCCCTAAGAATGCCAAGGTTGCCTCCATTATCCAAGGTAACTAGTGGAGGTGGCCTCCAGTTAATCCTAGAAACTCCAGAGTTATTGAGGAGATCATCTCGACTATGCCCAATTACTCCCCAACAATGGATACAAAGGATGAGTTCAAATGGCTTCCTTGAGTAAATGGAAAATTCTCTACTTCTTCAGCTTGGAATCTAATTAGGACCACCAAACCAGAGGTGCTGTGGTACCATCTTATTTGTTCAATCTCTACATTCCTAGATCCAACTTTATCCTTTGGCTTGCTATTAGGTGTAGGCTGTCCACAAAGGACAGAATCCATAGTTTTACTATCATTGTTTATGTCTTATGGGGTGAAAGAAATCATAGAATTTTCACCAATGAGTATAAAGATTCAAGTATTATCCAGTTAACTGTCTTGAATATGGTGAGAAGTAGACTCCTCTCAGTCAAAATCAAGGACACTCCTCTTCACAGACTGGCTGCTTCTCCTTGGCAACTTCCAGGCTCTTGTTTTTGCACATGATGTAATTTTTGTACGCTGTTTACAGGCTGTGTAGTCTATGGGGAGTGAAAAATGCTGCTCTCCCATACTTCCTTTGCCTGCTTTTGATGGAATGATTGCAGGCTGTTGCTGTCTTCTCCATGTTTCTTTGTTTTGGTCTTTTCCCTTAGGGGTTGGATGTAGCTCTGTACATTTGTTTTTTATCAATACAACTTCTTGTTTACTTACCCAAAAAAAAAATTAATTGTAGTTATTTAGAAATAAAATAAAATTATATATATATTTTTAAAAATGACTCTCGGGCTAATCAAAATAAAACTCAATGTGGCCATAATAAAAAATAATATGGTCCTGAGACAAAATCTCAAACACAACTCAATCTAATAAAACTACTATTTTCGAACCATAGCGGCCTTTACATCCTTTATTGACATATGACCAATCCATGATTACAAAAAATGATAATTCTATTGACATGGATCAAGATGTGAGTGTAACAAGAAAATAACATCTCAATATTTGATCTGATAAACATGTTATTTTCATTGTCAGTCCTCCAAATGATTTCCCTTTAACAACAAGTTTCAACAATAAGCTAGAGAAATCCATTAGCTTCAACAATAAGCTAGCATGTCTTCAAATTTAAAATCACAAGATTTTCTCAAATGGTGTAATCAGAGACATACTCAATTGACAAAACAGTCATATTTAAGACATACACCAAGTTTTAAGATTTTGTAAAATGACATGTTATAAATGTGTACACATATAACATAGCAAGAATATCATGCTAACAATAAGAATAATCATCAAATATTTATTATTCATCAAATAGATGTATCTCAATCATAATGAGTATCAAAAATCACATATGAAATTAAATCAACACTAAAGTTCATAACAAATAGAAAACTCCCACTAACCAAGTACATCAAAAGACCCCAAAATACTCATGTTGTCAACATGTTTATTAAAAGTTACAGGTCTCAGTTCCTTGGTTAAAAGATCGGCAAACATTGATTCTATATCAATATGTTCAATCACAATGTCACCTTTCTTCACAAGATCCCTAATAGAAAGATTTTTAATTTTTATATGTTTAGACCCACTAGAATGTTTGTTATTTTTTGAGAAGAACACAGCTGCACTGTTATCACAATAAATTGTTAGTGGTTTAGAGATAGAATCAACAATCATAAGTCCTAAAATAAAATTCCTTAGTCATATAGCTTGTGTTACAGCTCCATAACAAGCTACATATTCAGTTTGCATAGTAAAAGAAACTGTGAGAGTTTGTTTAACACTCTTCCATGATATTGTTCTTCCAGCTAACATAAAAATATATCCTGAAGTGAATTTTAAATCATCCTGACACCCAGCAAAATTTGAATCTGAGTAACCAATCACCTCAATACTATAAACTCTCCTATAAACAAACATGTAATTTTTTGTTCTTTGCAAGTATCTCATAATTTTCTTAGCTGCCATCCAATGATCTAATCCTAGTTTGGAAAGATATTTGCCAAGAACACTAACTGCAAAAGCAATGTCAGGCCTAGTACAAACCTGTGCATACATTAAACTGTCAACAACACTCGCATAAGGTATACTCCTTATAGATTCATCCTCAAGATCATTCTTGGGGCATTGACTTAAACTATATTTATCACCTTTCACAATAGGTACATCCCCAAACTTACAATTATACATATAAAATCTTTTAAGCACACGATCTATATATTTTACACAACAATTGCTTAATCTCATGAAGTAAACCAAAACCATTACTTACAAGCAAAATATCATCAACATAAAGAACAAGAAAAATAAATTTGCTCCCATTGACCTTAAGATATATGCATTGATCCATCTTGTTCTCAACAAAACCAAGAGAATTTATTATCTCATCAAATTTCAAGTACCATTGACGAGAAACTTGCTTGAGACCATATATAAACTTCTTGAAATTGCACACTAATTGTTCTTTACCATTCTCCTTAAAACCCTCAGGCTCCATCATATAAACTTATTCACTAAGCTTACCTTCAGGAAAACTGTCTTCACATCCATCTGATGAAGTTCTAGATTAGAATGAGCAACTAATGCNTCTTAGTTTGGAAAGATATTTGCCAAGAACACTAACTGCAAAAGCAATGTCAGGCCTAGTACAAACCTGTGCATACATTAAACTGTCAACAACACTCGCATAAGGTATACTCCTTATAGATTCATCCTCAAGATCATTCTTGGGGCATTGACTTAAACTATATTTATCACCTTTCACAACAGGTACATCCCCAAACTTACAATAATACATATTAAATCTTTTAAGCACACGATCTATATATTTTACACAACAATTGCTTAATCTCATGAAGTAAACCAAAACCATTACTTACAAGCAAAATATCATCAACATAAAGAACAAGAAAAATAAATTTGCTCCCATTGACCTTAAGATATATGCATTGATCCATCTTGTTCTCAACAAAACCAAGAGAATTTATTATCTCATCAAATTTCAAGTACCATTGACGAGAAACTTGCTTGAGACCATATATAAACTTCTTGAAATTGCACACTAATTGTTCTTTACCATTCTCCTTAAAACCCTCAGGCTCCATCATATAAACTTATTCACTAAGCTTACCTTCAGGAAAACTGTCTTCACATCCATCTGATGAAGTTCTAGATTAGAATGAGCAACTAATGCCATAATGATCCTGAAAGAATCTTTAGTAGAGACAGGTGAGAAAGTTTCATTAAAATCTACACCTTCCCTCTGGCTATACCCTTTTGCTACCAATCTAGCTTTAAATCTTTCAATTTTACCTTTAGAGTTCATCTTAGTTTTAAACACTCATTTGTAGCCAATGGGCTTACATCCCCCAGTAAGTTCCACAAGCTCCCACACTTCATTGTGTGCCATAGATTGCATCTCATCTTTCATGTCACCTACCCACGTATCAGACTGAGGACAAGTAATAGCAACATTGTATATTATAGGATCAACAATATCACCTATATCATAATCACTTTTCCCAAGGTATATATAATATTCATCAGAAATAACAGGTCTTCTTGGTCTTGTAGATCTTCTCAAGGAAATTTCTGTAGTAGGCTCTAAAGGTTGAGGAGCCTCAATAGGAACAGAAGGTTCAATTGCAGGAACATGAGGATCAACAACTGGAGCAGAAAAATTAATAACAGGAACATGTGTAATATTCTCTTGCACAACAGGTAAAGGAATAAAAATAAATTTATCTTGCTCATGCTCACTAATAGGCTGTGAGCAACCAATATCAGCAACATCAAGCACCAAAAATTTTGCTCTTATTTCAACAATTTTAGTACCATGTGTAGGACAATAGAACCGGTATCCTTAAGAATGTTCTAGGTAACCTATGAAGACACAACGAGTAGTTCTAGGATTAGTCTTTTTCTCAAAAAGGTTATAAATTTTGACTTCAGTAGGACAACCTCAGAATCAAAAATGGTTAAGGCTTGATTTCCTATTGGTCCATAATTCAAAAGATATTTTTGGAACAGATTTGCTAAGAACTCTATTAAGAATGTATGAAGCCGTTTTAATGGTTTCTCCCTAAAGATAATCAGGTAAGTTACATCTACTCATTATGCTCCTCATCATGTCTTTAAGGGTGTGATTACGCCTTTCAGCCACACCATTTTGCTCGGGACTACCAAGCATGGTATATATTTGTCATAATACTCACTACCACGATCAGACCTAACAATTTTGATGACTTTCTCTAATTGTTTATCTACCTTAGTCTTGAAAATTTTAAAATTTTCAAGAACATTAGTTTTTTTATTAATTAAATAAATATATTCATAATGAGAGAAATCATCAATGAATGTAATAAAATATTTATTACCACACAATGTACGTGAGTAAGGTCCATTGATGTCAGTATGAATGATTTCTAAATGATCTAGACTGTGAGTTGCACTTTTCTTCTTAGTATTGATCAATTTATCCCTAATGCAGTCAACACAAGTTTCAAGGTCTCCTAAATCAAGAGGAGGAAGAATATTATTTTTTATTAATCTTTCCACTCTTTCTCTAAAAATGTGACCCAAACGTTTATGCTACAGTTGTGAAGATTTTTCTTTAATGAAAGGTCTCTTAAATACAACATTCACAATATTTGAAAGAACATATTCATTATTAACAGTCAAACATATACTATATAGACCATCTGATAAAACACAGTGACTAACAATTTTGGAATATAAAAACAATTGAGTTTTACTATTACTAAAATTAAAACAATATCCAATTTTATCAAACAAAGAAACTGAAATCAAATTTCGCCTAAATAACGGTACATAAAAAGTATTTTCTAAAACAAGTTGAAAATCAGTGTCTAAATTTAACCTAACAGTTCCTATGAACTCAACATGGACTTCATTGTTATCTCCTACTTTAAGCTTGACTTCTTCTTCACTTGGCTTCCGTTTGCTTGTGAATGTCTGCAAAGTCATGGCAACATGAACAGAAGCCCCACTATTAATCCACCAAGAATTTAATGGGACATTAACAAAATTGGTTTCAAAGCAAACAAAAGTTAGTGAATTACTTTCTTCTTTATTCTACTTTTCTAACCAAGACTTGAAACGAGTGCACTCAGTTTTCTTATGATCTCTTTTCTTGCAAAATTAACACTTGACATGCTTAATGGCAGTCTTAGGAACTCCCACATTCTGACAAATACCATGCCTTTTGAAATCCCAACCATTCTTCGGAGCATTATGATTAGATTTTTTATTATTTTCCTAATACTGAACTTTGAAACTAGATTTAGGCTGAAAAACAAATAAGGTAGTTTCACTCTTTTCTTTTCTAAGTTTTTCTTTCTCAGAATCACACTTCAAGGTAAGGTCATTAATTGTCCAAGACTCATTTTGGGTGTTTTAGGCAGTTTTGATTTGACTAAACTCAGGAGTCAAAGAGTTAAGAGTGTGACAATGAAATCATCAGGAATAACAATTTTTAATGCTTTGAGTTTGGTTTAAACATAGATCATTCTAAAGATATATTCCCTAACACTACCTACATTATCATATTTCATACTCGTTAATTCATTCATTAGGCCCCCAACTTCAGTCTTATTGAATACC